ACAAAAATACAAAAATACAAAACTTATTTCCTACTCCTGGTCCGTCTCAGACACTTTTCAGTATTTTCAGTATCCTGAAACAGATTCGTTCGCACTTCTTTTGCTTCTTTCTTCACTTTTTTTCGACTAGAATTGCGCAACCGATCGGTTAAAAGCTTCGTCCGACTGGCCAAAACCTCATTTTCGACTTGTTTTTCGGTTAAAACCGACCCTTTCTTCACTTTCGAACTCGAAGCGGCGGGAGTTTTGAAATTCGACTCTTCATCTTCAGCCAAAACTGGGCCTTTCTTCGCTTTTTCTTCCTCCTTATCTTCATCTTCGTCGAATTTCAGCGATTTCGGCTTAATTCGAAACTTTTCGACCGTTTTCGGCACCAAATTCGGCGAAATCACCACTTTCGAAACGCGATTTTCGGGGGTTTTCACACCAAGATCTTCACTTTCTTCGACTTGCAAGTGCGATTCTTCGAAATTGTCGAATTTAAAAATGTCTAGTTTTTGGGCTAAAGCCTCGTAATATAAATGGGGAAATTTCGATGTTAAAGGTTCCAAATTTTTTAAAACTGTCTTATTCATCTTTTCGGCACTTGAAACTCTTCCAAATTTAAGTGCACAGTTTGACCAACTTAATAAAACCAAACAGTAAGTCTCTAGGAGTGAGGTTAGAGGAGGTACTAGATCGGTCGAAATTTTTTTCGACCACTTTTCGATAAAACTCGAATGATTGTTTTTGGTAAATTTGTAGGTTGTCACCACATTAGTGAAGAAATCCTTCGCTGGGGTCATTTTCTCCTCACAAAGACTCAAAAAACCGCTCAAAAAACCCAATTTGAGGACATATTCGCGATACTCAAAAGACATACAGTTGTAACACTCGCACATCGTCTCGTGTTGCAAAAAAACCGGTTTGAAACTCTCGGTTTGAAAAGTTGGCGATCCTGTTTCCGTCGATTGGGCCTCCCTTGAGGGCACTTCCAGTAGTACCAACTCCTCACACAACTCATCTATTCTCTTATTTAAATCAAGTTCACTTTTGCGAACACCGAGAATGTCCGAAAAGTCCCGAATTTTCACCCGAGCATCATCGAACCTCGAAGTGAGTATATCAGCGTAGGCGAGGTAATACAAAATGGCGGCGGTGCGAAACGGAAGTAGCATTTTTTGGGCGATAATAACCGGTGATTTAACCAAACTTCGAACTTGAAGCGGTAACCTCAAATCTGTATACATTCGAGCCAAATTTTCGAAAATTTCGAAAAAAATTCGCATCTCGAATGATGTACAACGCGATTGATTGAAGTAGGCCGTGGCTTTATAGCTTGCTTGATGGATGCGAACCAATGAGAATTCTTCGTGACCTTGAACACCATAGTCACATGGCAAGGTCAAAAACTTATGTTCGATCATATAGTATTTCGCTGTGAGGATGTCACTCAAATTGTGACTTTTTCGCAAATTCGAAATTCGATTAAATGCCGTGTAGGAAATTTCGAAGTTCGAATCGAAAAAAGCCTCACATTTGCACAACAAATAAGTGATTAATTCGTTATATTGTTTTTGGGTTTTGACGCACTCGATTTGGGCTTCGCCCTCATCGATTAACTTTCGAATGTGCGGTTGCGACGGGTCGCAAAATTCGATTATAAATCCGATCGATTCGAGCTTTTCGACGGGCTTTTGGGCCACATCATAGGCCATTTGCCACGCCTCCAAAGCCCTCAATTTATCACCGTGAAGGCTATATTCATGCCCGATGTTCACCAAAAGTCTATAAAAGTGTTCGCAACTGTTCGAAAATTGTTCGCAAGTGTTCGAAAATTGTTCGCAAATGTTCGAAAATTGTTCGCGACTGTTCGAAAATTGTTCGCAAGTGTTCGAAAATTGTTCGCGACTGTTCGAAAATTGTTCGCGAGTGTTCGAAAATTGTTTTCGGCACAAATCAAGCGATTTTTCTAAATCTTTGATCAAAACCAAATATCGACTCAATTTCAAACTTTCATAGGACGAAACCAAATCGCACTCATCATTCGGTTCGTAACCTGGTTTAGCCTCATTAACCGAATTTAACGTACTCGCCATCTCCTCGCAATGCTTTAAAACCGACTCTTTAACCTTATATTTGTGTTTTAGGTAGTACAAATGTGCCAAAACCGAACATTTCCGAACTTTTTCGAACCGTTCGATCACGTGACACAAAATTTTCGGAAAAGTTTCATGAACGGGTAAATCACCCCCAGCCCAAATTTCGGTTATAACCTTACCGATTCGCACCGGTTCGGTTAAATGACTCAATTCGTCCAAAACCGAACACATGGAAATTTTACTCTTCCAACGTTCGGAATAACTTCGAAGTTCGAATTCGAGTAGTTCGATTTTGTCGAATTTCGGTAAAAATGAGCGAATTTCGTTTTCGTTTTTGCGAAGTACTGAGATTAGTGTCAATTGTTGGATTTTTGACTCGGCTTTGTGCTCTTTCGCCTCGACTTTTGTCAAAATCCAACGCTGAATTTCGGATTTTCGATCACCACCGAAAATGATACTTAGGGAGGTAAAAAGGAGGCTTTTTTCGTAGTTTTGACACTTTAAATAGTTTTCGGAAATGAGTTGTAGTGCCGCTATAGGATAGGTCTTATTAATTATGGACGAATTAAGGCCTTCGAACTTGTAGAAAGTTTGGACGAACTTTCGCAAATAAATTTCGAACATTTCATCGTTTTTCTTGTTCAAATGGACTCCAATAGTGTACAAATGGACTCCCAAGTCGTACCAAAACTCCCCCCACTTATCACTCTGTGATTTAAACACGTCCAAATTTTCGACAAACAAGTCCAAATATTTCAAAACGTCCAATTTGTAGCTTTTCGATTGTTGCGAATTGACAATTGCGAGTCGCCCCAACCCCCCGACTGTATTAAAGACACGCAAAGCCCCCTCAATGTCATACTTGAGTAAAATTTGCGCTATCGCCCCCATAAAATTATAGTATTGTTGTTGGAGCTCGGCTCCGCCTTGCCACAGCTTAAAATCGGCCTTAAACAACTGTAACCGCGTTGAGGCAACACTCGAAATGAGTTCACAGAGTGCGGTCAAGAAGGGGGCTGCATTGTGGGTCATTTGGTACATCGTGAGACTCATTTGGGGCCCCTCAAGGGGGCCCCACTCCACAACTTGCATGATTTCGCCCAACAAATCAAATTCTGGTGTGGGGTACAGTGTCTTGAGTTTGGTTTGGGTGAGAGTGTACGAGGCACTAGCCGAGCCATTAGATTCACTTTTGAGTAAATTTGTGTAAATTAGAGTGAAATTTTTGAGGATTTGGGGGTAGAAACTCGTGTCGCAGTTGGTGATTTGTGTGAGGGCGAATTCGTAGTAGTTGAGGAGGTCCTGGGGGCCACTTTTGAGGATTGTGTGGGCTATGAGACAGTTATGGATTGTCTCCAAAAGTTTCATTTTGTTGTTAATCTTGTTGCAAATGCGCGTGAGGAGGTGACACAAGTCGTTGAGGGCCCCCATGTGTCTTTTGTCCTTGTTTTGGACGATTTTCACGATCACATTGTATATATTTGAACTGATGTTTTTGTAAACTGCGATGTGTTTTTCGGTGAGTATCAAGGGCTTGAATGGGGGCACAAAAAGCTGTTCCAGACGTACAATTGAGTCCCAGTTTTTCTGAAAAAAATCATCAATTCTGAAACATTTTCAGACTTTTTTTACCTTCTCAATGAGCAATTTCAGGATGTAGTAGACACTTTTTATGTAAGATTCGTAGTTGGCATCCGAGGTTAGTTCAATAAATTTCAGTAAAAGTTTCAGGAGACGCTCCAAAGCCAATTCATTGAGTTTTTCAGGTGTTGAGACATTTTTTTCACATGAGTGACAAATCGCAGTGATGATTTTTATTGCACTTGAGGTTTCGATTTTGAACTTTTCAGTGGTGATAATGTCGAAGACTGAGTCGAATTTGCCTTTTAAACACTCATCTATCAAAAATTGGACACTTTTTGGCGGCATTTTTTAGGTTAGGTTGACTCAACTCCGGGAACTTTTCATGGGCAATGACACACACTATCGATGGTCTGAAATGGGGAGAAATGGTTAAAAATAGGAAAATCGATGGGTATTGATGGGTTTACCTCGATTATTGTTTAATGAGTTTAAATATTCAAGTTTTGAAATAACTGTAAAAACAGGGGAAAAAGTGACAGCCGCGTCGCCAACCCAACCACAAATGTCACTAAAGTTGCATAACTGGTCACCTAAAAACTAACACAATTTTTGCAATTAAGCAAAAATAAATTAATTGTATTGTTGCAAATTATTATTTCTAATTGTCAATTATTAAATAAACTGTTGGTAATATGAAATAATCAAAAAATTTAGTTACGTCAATTTATTGTAAACAAAGTTGCATAAACAATTATTATAATAAATTTATTATTAATTAATTACGATTGAATTAAATTTAAATTATTAATGTGTTTAAGTGCAATAAACATATTTTAAAGTTAGTTTTGATTCAATTGTTTGTGTAATTTGGGTAATAACTTGTTACGTCAATTTGATGTAAATTTGGTTGCATAACTAATAAATATTTTTTTGTTAATTAATTGTAATTAGGCTTAATTTTAATTATTTGTGTGCCCAAGTGCCCCACAAATGCGATAAATAAATCTTGGTTGCGTTTGGTAATTTTTTGTGGATGCCCATGTCCCATTTCCGCCCAGCATCCGACCCATGACCCATGTCCCATCATGGAACGGTACAATCGTCGAGCCTTCAACTCGGTGCGAGACACGAGAGAAAGGTAACTTTTACCGGAGTTATCAGCGACTCGGCGAGTTTTACCATTGGTTGGCGTACCATCGTTGGTAAAAAATTGGTAGCGTGTCTTGTACCATCGATGGTAGAATCTCACCTGTTTAGTGTGAAAGAGGTGACGAAGGAGTGAATATATCGGGGCGTGTTGTGTTTTTGTGAGGGTGGAAATGAAGAATTAATTTTGGAGGATTTTGAGGATAAAGTGAGTTGGAGGGGGGATGGGTGGGGCTGGAGGGCACGAAATGGGGGTTTTGGTGACAATGGGAGGATTTGAAATGGTCGAGCGGTTTGAGAATTTGAGTATTAATTGCTTTCTACAATTATTAATTATTATAATTAATTCCTATTTTTTATTGTGCCAAAAAACGGGTTTTTGGAGCTAAATGTTGGTAACCTTGGTGCTGAAATTTTATGCAAAAATTATGTCAAGTTTTCAAAGAATAAATTATTAAAGATTTTTTTAAAAACAAAGAAAACAAATGAAAAATAATTAACTTTGGCTCATTTCCGGATTTTTTTCTGAAAAAATTAAAAAAAAATCTAATTCTGAAACTACGAAACTTATCGAAATGCCTTTTTGCGAAATTATAGTCTTAATAGTGGTCCACCTTTTGGCCAAATTTTATTCAAAAAAATTTCAGGCGCGATGGTTAAAAATTACAAAACTTGGGCCACTCCCAAGACCCAAACATGAAAAAAATTTCAAAAAATTGTAATTTTGAAATTCAGAAACGAACTAATGTGCCCTTTTAGTAAATCGAAATACTGTCATTTGTCCTTCTTTTTATGAAAAAATTGTTTCAAAATAACGTTGAAAACAGTGAAAAAATGCAACATTTTGGGTGAGTTTAATTCGAAAAAACTTAATAATTTTTCAAAAATTTCTCAAAGTGGAACTAAAGCTCAAATCAAAATGCCATTTTGGCACTATATAAATAAGCCTTTTGTCTAAATTTCCTGAAAAAATCAATAAAAAATATCTAAGAAAACAACTGCAAAATAATTTCTTTTGCCTCATGTCCGGTTTTTTCTTGAAATAAAAAAAATCTAATTCTAAAATTACGCTACTTATCAAAATGCCTTTTTGCCACATTAAAAGCTTGGTAGTGGTCTATCTTTTGGGAAAATTTTACTCAAAAAAACTCTTAGAAATAGTGGCAAAAAATTACGAATCTTAAGCCATTCTCAAGTCTCAAATATGAAAAAAATATCAAAAAATAGTAATTTTAAACTAATGTGCCCTTTTATCAAATTAGAGTACTGTTATTTGTCTTACTTTTTAGGCAAAAAATGTTTCAAAATAACGTTAAAGACGGTGAAAAATCAACGTTTTGTGTGAATTTAATTCGAAAAAGTTTAAATAATTTTTCAAAAATTTCTCAGAATGGAACCAAAATTTAGATCAAAATGCCGTTTTGGCACCATATAAATAAGCCTTTTGCCCACATTTCCTGAAAAAATCAATAAAAAATATAAAAGAAAACAACTGAAAAATAATTTACTTTGCCTCGTGTCCGGTTTATTTAATGAATTAAAAAAAAATTCTAATTCTAAAACTACGCAACTTATCAAAATGCCGTTTTGCCACATTATAGCCTTGGTAGTGATATATTTTCTGACAAAATTTTGTTCAAAAAAAGTTCAGAAACGGTGTCAAAAAATTACGAATTTTGAGCCATTCCCAAGTCCCAATTATGAAAAAATTTTCAAAAAATTGTAATTTTGAAATTAAAAAACAAACTAATGTGTCCTTTTATCAAATTAGAGCACTGTTATTTGTCTTACTTTTTATGCAAAAATTGTTTCAAAATAACGTTAAAAACAGTGAAAAAATCAACGTTTTGTGTCAATTTGATCGAAAAAATTTTAATAATTTTTCAAAAATTTCTCAAAATGGAACCAAAACTCAGATCAAAATGATGTTTTGGCATCATATAAATATGTCTTTTGACTACATTTTCTGAAAAAATCGATAAAAAATATGTAAGAAAACAATTGAAAAATAATTTATTTTGCGTCATATCCGATTTATTTATTAAATAAAAAAAAAATGTAATTCTGAAACTACACAACTTATCA